CATTTATTGGTAAATAACTTCATATTCAACTTTTGCCGCTACGGTATTCTGACACAGTAGTCTTTTTAAGTGCTCCTCGAAAATTATTATTTTGTTGTGTAAATATTGCAAGTTTTTTTATTCAATTTGTAAATTAATTGATTTTAACTATTCAAATCATTAAATAATCAGTTTTTAGTGCATTAACGAGTGTATTTTTATAGATTTGAACAAAAAGTGCAAGAGGTCGTGTTGCCTAAACTACCCGCGAACGATTTGTGTGCTCGCGCTCCACAAGTGAAATTCGCCGTTCCGCTGCTTCTGTGCGTGTAGCCTAAGTGCGATAATTGCGTGCGAGCCCTTGCTTTGTGTGGTCACTCCGTTCGCTACGTCAACCGACAAAGAGCATATAACGCAGACGCGTCACGTACAGCGCTCAACCGCTCAGAGGCTTATATTAGAGAAGGAGTAAAATAAGACATTTCGGCAATCACAAATTACATATAAATATATTTATTCTTATTTTATTATTACAATGAATTGCTTGGCTTGTAACGGTAGGATAAACAGAGGTGAGGTATTAACCTGTGCTACCTGTAAAGGCAACCATCACTATAAGTGTTTAAACATGACGGTGAACACCTATACCGCCATTAAACATAACTGGATATGCCCTACCTGTACTATGGGAGTAAGATGTGTCAAAGGCGACGAAACACCAACCCGTAGGCAATTCGAGCAGCGCCCGGCCAAGACCGATGACAATCTGACTTCCAACAGTGCCTCTAATAGCGCTGTAGATGGAGTAACGGGTTCATTGAATATTACAGATGCAAATATTTCTGACGTCTTACAAGAACTACGAGCATTTAGAAGCGATTTTGTCGGCATGAGGTGTGATATCCAAAAGGTAACTAACAGTATACAAGAATTAAACAAAAAATTTGCCGAAATGGAATCGCGCTTTAGTAACATTGAAGACAGATTAACAGCCACCGAAAACAAGACTGCTCTGATTCCTAGGCTAAAACAAGACTTAGATTCTGCTAAAAGTTCAATATCGGTTCTGGAAAACGAGTTACAGCAGCGGGATCAATTAGGTAGGATGAACAATATCGAAATATCCGGGATACCTACTACTGCTGGTGAAAACCTCATGGGTATATTACGGGCCATTTCAATTAAGATTGGGCACTCACTGGACGACCGTGACATCGATGGTGTCACGCGTGTGCGAAGGTTCGAGGCGGGTGTGTCTGGGGAAACAAGCAATCCGCGTCCGCCGGCCATTATTGTAAAATTTACTCGACGGCTGTGTAAGGATGCATTTCTCGCAGCGGTGCGCTCGCGACGTGGCCTAACTACTGCTGATGTTGGTCTCTCGGGTCCCTCGCTAAATCTGTATGTATCTGATCATCTCACCCCTCAAAATAAACAATTATTAAAACGTGCCAGACAGATCAAAACTGATTTAGGCTATTCTTATTTATGGGTTAGAGATTGTAAAATATTGATACGTAAAAACGAAAGATCAAAGGTCATTGTTATTAAGAACGATGTCGACATATCAAAGTTAAAGTGACTCTTAATCTATAATTTTATATACTTAAGAGTTAAACAGCCGCATTTTAGGTTTTCTACCGTGGCTGATAAATTCATGAGTTACTTTGCTGTGATGTGTTTATACTGTATTTGTGATTTTTTGTTCAGTGATGTGGTTAGAACTATTTTGTCTATTCGTATGCAAAGCTCTCGTCCGCCAAAATATTTATATTCAATTATACTTAATAACATCCCATATTTTAATTTAATCAATCCTAATTACTATATTATATGTCATAATCAAATGGCGAAAAATAAATATGTGTTTATAATAATTAATCGCAATGTATCCGGAAGCTAAACTTCTGTTAGGTTACTATCAGAATGTAAGGGGCTTACGTACGAAATCTCATAATTTTCTATCCCAAATAGCTGCGACTGACTACGATTTCATATGTGTGACCGAAAGCTGGTTGACACCCGATTTCTATGACAGAGAATATTTTGATAGCAGGTATGTAGTGTTTCGCTGTGACCGCTCGCATGAGGAGAGCGGTGCGACGCGTGGCGGCGGAGTGATGGTGGCAGTGCGCACTAAATTGATGCCGTTGCGTCGTAACTGGCCTACCCCACCGCGCGCCGCTTCCGACTGCGTTTGGTTATCTATACCTTTAAATATAGATAATAAATACCTAAATATCGCCTGCATTTATATACCGCACGGGCCGGGGTACCGTGACGCGCTGGAAGGTTTTTTTAATTGTGCGAGTGATATATTTAATGATCGACCAAATGACATATTTTTGATTGTAGGCGATTTTAATGTTTCTGAAGCGGTGTGGCAGGGGACTCCTACCTTCAGTAAATTGTTGCAAAAAGGTGGAGACTTTGCTGTAAAAGCATTGAGAGATTTTTTAGCGTTCACTAATTTGCAACAGTTTAATGGTGCGTATAATGTCAATAATCGAATCTTGGACCTAGTGATGAGTAATATTACTTGTAAAGTCATGAGTTGCTCTCAACCCTTAACCCAGGAAGATGCCCACCATAAGTCAATTGAAATTTGTTTGAATATTGATAATTTTAAAACTTTGAATTCATTTCCTACCTACAGTTATAATTTTCATGCAGCAGATTTCGACTGCCTTAACAATGAACTGAAAAATATAAACTGGCTTAAATTATTTGAAACTTTAAACTTAGATGAATGTGTATCAAAATTTTATGAAATCTTAAGAAATGTTATTGCGAAATTTGTTCCTCGAAAAATTATCAGATCCTCGGAATCCTGCCCTGTATGGCATACTAAGCCCCTAAGGAAAGTCTTGAATGAAAAAAAGAAATATCACAAACTATGGAAATTATATGGAAATCCCTTGGACTATCAGTGTTTCAATATTTTGAGAAGAAGAGGTAAGCGAATGGAAACTGAATGCTATAATAAATACATACAATACACTGAAAACAAAATTCAAACAAATTCCAAGTACTTTTGGACCTACGTTAAAGCTATTAAGGCTACCAGCGGGCTACCGCGGACGATGTTTTATAATGGGAAAAGCAGTAGTGACGGAAAACAGATTTGTGACTTCTTTAATGAACACTTCCATTCAGTATTTGTAAATAACACTAGTCAATCACTACCTAATCGGAGGGCTATTCCTTTGAATTGTGTTTTAGATATTGGTTCGGTGGAGATTAACCCTGAATTAGTAAATAAATATTTGAAAAAATCTTGACGTTATTAAGGGTGCTGGGCCGGATGGCATACATCCTCTGTTTATTCGCAGGTGTGCGGATACTTTAAGTTTTCCACTAACTTATATTTTCAGATTGTCTTTTGACAATGGTTACGTACCACAAGTTTGGAAGTGTGCTTGGATAACACCTATTCCTAAAGGTAAGGCATGCGAGGAAGTCACAAATTATCGGCCTATTTCCAAATTATGTCAGTTTGCAAAGATACAAGAAAAGATTGTTACTGATCAACTATTTGAGGTTGTACAGCGCGTCATTGTCCCGAACCAGCACGGTTTTTGTAAGAAACGTGGTGTCGAAAGCAATTTGATAACATTTACAGAGCTTATATTGTCAGCAATGGATGAAAATACTCAAGTCGATGCTATATACACAGATTTTGCAAAAGCGTTTGACAAAATTTGTCATGATACACTACTTTTCAAGCTCTGGCAACTCGGAATCCATGGTGACTTGTTTCGTTGGATACGTTCATACATAGGGAACCGTAGTCAAGCTGTTGTACTGTGTGGTTACCGTTCTGCATATAAAAATATTCCCTCTGGGGTACCCCAAGGATCTCATTTAGGACCGTTATTATTTATTATTTACGTTAACGACTTGACAAAATCCATTAATCACTCAAATGTGTTACTATACGCAGATGATACAAAGATATACAAAATTATTAAAGACATGAATGATTCTGCGTTACTACAAAGTGATCTAAATGATTTTGTTGAGTTTTGTAATAGTAGCAATTTATTTTTGAATTTAAATAAATGTTTCGTAATTTCTTTTACAAGATCAAAAAATCCAATAGTATACCCATATAAAATTTGTGGCCACGATCTGGATCGCGTTAGTGAAATTAGGGACTTGGGTGTGGTAATGGATTCCAAACTTTCATTCATTCCCCATGTAGATAAGATAGTCGCAAATTCTTACAAATTTTTAGGTTTCATATTGCGTGTGGGAAAACCTTTTAAAAATGCTTCTACTTATAAACTGTTATTTAACAGTTACGTGCGAAGTAGACTTGAATTCGCAAGTCCGGTTTGGAATCCTCACCAACGGGTCCATCAAGATAAAATTGAAAAGTTACAAAGAAAGTTTGTAAAGTCCTTAGATTATAGAACCGGTAATCAACACATAGATTATGAATCTTCCCTTGTATTTCATAAAATAAGCACCTTGAGACAACGTCGCGATATCACTGATATCACGTATTTGTTTAAAATATTGCATAATATGGTTGACGCCCCTGTTCTATTGGAACAAATTTATTTTCGAGTACCGCGTAAACAGGAAAGAACAAGCCGTAAAAAATATCTTTTCGCCATAAAATCAAGTAAAACTGGCTATGGCAGTAATAGTTTTATAAAGAGAGCATGTGCCTCATATAATAGACAATTAGGTAGTATAGAATTATTTAATATATCGTTAATAAAATTTAAAAACCACATCACTGACCTTATATGTGCTAATGTTGACTAAAATAGTGTAGGTAATTGTTTTTTTGTAATTTTTGATTATTCTTTTGTATTGCTTAACTGGTTGTTTGCTACTTTCTATTATTCGTGTACTTATTATATTAGTAATATAAGTCCTCATAGCAGCGAGTGCGCCGTTGTTGTGTCCTGAGTTTTGTTACGTCATTAAATGGAGTCAGGAGACCTGTAAGGAACGAAATTAATAATTAATATTTCACAACATTACCACAAAATAAGCATTTTTCCCGTAATAATAGGTTATCGAAACACGTTCTATTCATACCTAAAGTTTCTGGCCTTCACGCCATCCATTCATATTTATTTTTTTTTATGATGAAGAATTTAATATCTTGCTATAGATGACGATCATATCATCATCATCACTGTCCTTGATTCATACAATTATAATTATAGATGTTATTATCTGAAATGCAATTTATTAATATTAAGATTTTATTTTCATTCATAATAATTTATTAGTTAATATAAGGTAATAAGTAACATTTGCTGTCATGCTTACCTACAGTATACACCACGTTTGGTGCGTGGAGTTTACATTGCAAAATCCGGGGTTCTCGCAAGCCGTCATATAAATACTAATAATAAGTATTTATCAAAAAGTAAACACATCGCATTATACAAACACTGCGACCTGTATTGAACAATTGTTTCTTTTTTAGGTCTCCGGATCATTTAGATTCCGACTTATGTTAATTTACACTATAGCATTTTAGTACTTATCTCGTTGCGTAACACGACCGCTCGCTCCCGAACGTAACCAACCGGTGCCTGTCATCCAGCAAACTTAGAAAATGTGCGTTCGTTGCATAGTTTGAGGGATACGGGTGGTGTTGCGTTCATTTTACTTTGTTTTTTTTAACGTTTATAAAACTTACGTTTATAAGTGTCAGTATACCGTATACTTTTTTGTTTTATATGCATATTTAGGGAACTGTAGGTTTAGTAATATGTTAATTTTAAGTATGTATATTTTTAAATATGTAAAACTGTTTGTTCCTCAATAAATTAAAAAAAAAAAAAAAAAAAATATTCCATTTTGATTAAAATGGCTTATTACTAGGCATTTTCAGTTCCTTAAAACAAAACTGACAGCGACTAACGTGTGGACTTCTCGAGATTAAAATATTAGATTCGACTATGTGTTTGTTTAAAACGAACTTAAGTAAGTGGTTAATGAAAATATTTTATGACGTAAATGAACGTACCTACCTCAACACAAACAAATGGCGGATTTAGTGTTGTACCATAAATAAAGATAAGTCAATATCGAGATGCAAATGTATGGCTTGATTGTTGAAACTGTTTGTTTTTTATGTTTGAAAATTTATACGGCTTACTGTAATCAAAGTATGATTAATACTAGGCTATTATTACTGGGCAAGTAATGAGCCATTTGCAACCAAAAATAAATATAAAGTTATTTACCAATAAATGTAACCATGGAATTGCATTATCATGTAATCTAATTACATTCAAACAGTGAGCATAAATAATACTAGAGACGCAATGTCCTATAAACAGTTCTCTAAAATGTGGGACCACTTTGCAAATTTAAAGACTAGCTGTGAAACTGATTGAAATTTCAAAGAAAAATATATTTGTCTAGTTTTTTCTAAAGTCAAAGTCATAGTGCATTAAGGGATACGACCAGTGTTACTGGTTTAGAAATAATTTTCCCTAATTTCGTGTAGCCTTACTGGCGGAAAGAGACAGAGGAGATAGATCAGAAATGGAATGAACGAATGAGTGAAATATACATGAAAATGTACGATCTTAAGGGTCTACGCTTGGAATTCATAGTTCATTCAAATAAATTGTAAATATGAAGAGATGACTTTCTAATCTAGGGAATTCATTGCTTTTCTAGTATTTTTTATTTATTTGATAAAGATGACAAAGATACTGTCTTCCGACAAAGTTTCTGTTTCTATTTTCTGTTTCTATTTAACGGAAACAATTTAAAAATTGTAAAAGGGTAGATATTACACATTACTTGATACACAAATATTTAATTATAGTTTATTACAAGTTACTAAATGCCACTGTGCATCATTAGCTTGTTGTACAATTGCCTTGTGTTTTGTTACTCAGAGTGTCTTTTCGTAAAAGCCGTATAAATTTTATTCACTCCGCCCTGCGCGTTCGATCTTTAAGTACTCTGGGAAACAAACAAAATATCTTTTTAATAGCATTACGTGTTAATAGTATTACAGTTACACTTTACGTTGAAAAGTTACAACGAATAAGCTTGAATTAGTAACTTCAAAAAGGTCAACTCCCAATATTATGGGCAAATGAAAATTGATTTACTGGCAACATTGATGTTTAAAATATATTTATTTTATTTTTATTTGTGACAATCTAAACCAATAAAAGCGAACTTACCCGTGGAAGGTAACCTCAGTAGTTTTATGATCATTTTCGAAACGAGAATTGGAAATTTTAATTACATATTTCACCGTTTTTGATACTTTTTGTCACGTCTCGGTGAAGTTGTACTCACTCGAATTCAAAATGGTGATTGATGTCACTGTTTCCTGCAGGCAACAGTGCCGTGGGTGTCGTTTGAATAATAACGCATAGAAACCTAGTCCGCGCACGCTAAGTGAGGCAAATTGTAGCGCTCCCAATGGGCCTACACGAGCGGGCGGGCCGTCAGTGCACCGCGAACAGCTCAAGAATTTTAGCTAAAAATTACGAAATGTTCGGTAAATGAGTGTAAAAATACGTCAGACAAGCATAAAATAGATATCACATTCCACAAGGAAGTAACGCGTTTCAACTATATTTTTATATAAATGTTCACTAAAACCAAAAATTAATTTCGTTGCAACAAGACACGAAAATGTTGCAAAGTAACAGATTTCTTTCTCCCTATATTGCTATTCTGTTTCAAAATAATTATATTACGTATATTTTTGAGAATAGGCAATATCGCGATGGTTGCAGAATTTCTACAAGTTGAATACGTACAAATGTTATTTACAAAGAGCAACCCCTAGAGTTTCTTGCTCATACTTCTCGGGGGAATCTGCCTTACGAATGAGCGGTAGAGTTTAACCATTGTGACGATTTCAAGTGTAACAATGCTTTCCTATGAAATAAAGATTATTTTGATATTGATTCTGGGCATCGTTTACGAGGTATTTGGGGGCGCTCATTACGAATATAGTACTTATTTCTAAATCCAAGATGGCGATTTGAATGACACGATTTTTCAAAAAAATGCAATATGGGTATCCTTTTCGAGGTATTTGGGGATGCTCATTACGAATATGTCACTCATTTCTGAATCGAAGATGGCGAGCGCGATTTTTCGAATAATGACAAGTTGGGTATCGTTTTCGAGGTATTTGGGGGTGTTCATTACTAATATAGCACTTATTTGTAAATTCAAGATGGCGGATACGATTTTTCAAAAAAATGCAATATGGTTATCCTTTTCAAGGTATTTGGGGATGCTCTTTGAGTTATATTTTGATAGCAGAAATAAAAAAGGTGTCAATTATGTAATATTAAATTATTAGAAAATTAAAATATTTTTTTTTATTTCGGACAACGAGTTCCATAATTAGTTAGTAATAATAATAAGAAAAGTATATATACAGTGGTGGACACATAATTAAAGACACTTAGAGAATATTATCTTTGCAAAGTTTACTTATCCTATATTTTTTTATTATAATGCAATAGGAGCTTGCAATATTATTTAAATTATTCTAACGGGTATCGTGAAATGTTTGAAATGAAATAAAGAGAACGAAGATGTCGTGTTTTAAATTTTTATTAAGTTTCTTTAATTACACCGTTATAAACTAATACAAAAGCTTGGCCAACTAATTAAAGACACACAAATCATGTAACTGCAAAAAAAATATTACAAATGTTAAAACGAATTTGAGTATAAAATTAGTTTCAGATGTATAATAAGAAAATAAAAGCACGTTGTTAATATTTTGTCGAATGTCCTTTAGCAGCAATGACGACCCGACACCGCCTCGGCATAGAAGCAATCAAATTATTGCAAGTTTCAATCGAAATCTGTTCCCATGCCTCTTTAAATGCCGTGTATAGTTGATGCACGTTACTTGTACGTTTTTTTGCAACCATTTTCTTTACACGGGACCACAAGTTTTCGATCGGGTTAATGTCAGGACTATACGGTGGCCAATCCAAAACTGTTACTGATTGGCTTCTAAGAAATTCTTTGACCACTGCTGAAGTGTGTTTGGGATCATTATCATGTTGAAAAGTCCATATCACCGGCAAATGATCCTCGGCATAAGGTAACATGGTGTTTTCTAAAATATTTTTATATTGAAATTTATCCATGTTACCTTCTATTTTTTTAATAGGTCCCACACCGTGACCAGAAAAACATCCCCAAACTTTGATATTACCCCCTCCATGTTTAACAGTTTTTTTTGTGTATTTTGGATCCATTTCATTTTTTGAAGGACGCCTCACGTAAACTTTTCCATCAGAGTTAACCATATTTATTTTAGTTTCGTCAGAAAAAAGCACATTTTTCCACTGTCGCTCTGTCCAATGTGCATATTTTTTGGCAAACAGTAATCTGGTTTTGATGTTTTCTTTCTTCAAAAGGGGTACCTTCCGAGAAATTCTTCCAAACAAGTTTGCCTCACATAATCGCCTTCTCACCGTTCTTGCAGACACTCCTCTAGATTCCTCTGCACCAAATACTTCCAAGCGAATGACTTCTGATCCTTTGAAAGGGTCTTTTTTAGCCAACAATGCTATTCTTGTGTCTTCTCGCTGGGTTGTTTTTCGCGGTCTAGGTTTCCTAGGCACATTTTCTGTAGTGTTAAATTTCTTAAAATGCCGGATTGCGTTCATTACCATATCTTTCGAGCATCGCAAGTGTTCTGCAATTGTCCTATATGACCACCCTTTTTCATAAAAAATCAGAATTATCTTCCTTGTGGAAGGATCGCAACTTTTGCTTTTTCCCATAATATTTCAATTTAAATTTCACAATAAACTTAGAGCACGGCTAAAACTGAGTGAGATTTTGTGTATCACGAAAATTCGCTCAATATTAGAAAAAATCAGTGCTCTTTTTTATTTTTTATTTCAAGTTTAGAACACGAAATACGCACTGTCTTTAATTAGATGGCCAGCAGCTAATGTATCGAAAAAGTTTGAATGATACTTGAAACAGGAACTATGTAAACTCTTTTTAGTTAAACTTTGATACTGTTCTCATTTAAAAAAATATATGATGTCAGTGTATGTAAAATGACTATTAAAGAAAAACGCGGGAAACTTCCGAAACTGGCGGGTGCATTTTTCCTGGTTTTAGTGGTTTTTATTGTTTTTGCGGGATCAGGAGAGTTCTGTTTGTATTTATTGTATATATCTTTAATTTAGTACCTGTGTAAATATTTGTAGTGTATATATTTTCCGCTTCGGGTAAGTTTTTCATTTTTTAACATGGGCGACGAGCCCCCCGATGACCCTGGAGGAACAGTGCCTTCAGTGGGCCTAAATATTGAAATATCCTCGCTTGAAGCTAGTGCAGTAGATACGGAAGATGGTGCCCGTAGTGAAGATGGACGCAAAAATAGGAAACGCATTAAAACTTCCCGTAGACATTCTGAGAAAAAAAGGAAATGAAATGAAATGAAATGAAATGAAATGAAATAATGAAATAAAGTTTATTTGCACTGAATAGGGTTAGTATACAGGATGGTAGTTTGTTATATTATAGTCCTTCTATTCAGCCATTATACAATAGCATGCAAAAATTTAGTCACTTAGATATTCACTTACAGTATAATAACATTTTTTAATTAAATATTTATATAATTCAGTTGTCATTCTATTATACGTCAGATTTTTAATTTCGTTGGGCAACCTATTATAAATTTTCATACACATATGATATGGACTTTTTAAATAAAGTGTAGTCTTGGGTATGTTTTCTACAACAAGTCTATTTGGGTGTCTTTTCGCGCGTGGATTAACCTCTATAGATTTCTTGAACAATTGTAAATGGCATTTGACAAATTTACAAACTTCATATATATACAAAGAAGGCAAAGTTAAAATGTTCAAATCCTTAAATAGTGGCTTACAAGATTCCCGTGGGCCAAAGCCGCACATTGCTCGAATACACTTTTTTTGAGTTATGAAAGCTCGTTCAACATATGTAAAGATAGTAAGGGTAACTTTGTCGAAAGCTCTCATGATGATATTACAGAATATAATGCGAATATTAAGTATACGGAATTTGTTTCATCTTTATCTCAGGATAAGTTAACAAACGTCACTGTTTCTAACAAACCTTCTACTCAAATTCCTCCCACTCAGCCTCGGTATCAGAATATAAGAAAATATGAGCGCACTGACATCAGTCCGTATGTGATTCACGTAGTGAGACAGTCTGCTCCCGAAGAACGTGCTTCTTTACATCCAGTGCAATTTGGGAACATTCTTAAAAAAAATTCAGTTCCAAATATAGTGAATGGAAGTTTAAAACGTATTGGACGAAACAGACTTGCTCTAGCATTTACTCATTTCGATGATGCTAACAATTTTATTGATAATCCTTGTTTAGAGACTCATAAATTAAAAGCTTTCATACCAACATTTACTGTAACAAGAATGGGCATTGTACGAGGGGTCCCTGCTAGTTGGTCAGAGGAGGAAATATTGGACAATGTTTCTGTACCTATAGGATGTGGAAAAATAATTAAAGTAAGGCGTATCAGACGTAAAAAAATCGAAAACGGGAATGCTGAATTTACTAATACTGAAACTGTTGTTTTAACTTTTGATGGACAGACTCTACCAAAAAAAGTGTACATGTGCTATACAGCACTAACTGTAGATTTATATACATATCCCACAGTACAGTGTTTTCAATGTTGTAGATTTGGACATACTAAATTATATTGTAGATCTATACCACGTTGTTACAAATGTGGTAATAATCATACGGGTGATACATGCACAGTTGAGGAGGATGGTGCTTCTTGTTGTTTATGCTTAGGTTACCATTTTGCAACTAGTAAGGCCTGCCCAGAGTTTTCTAGGCAAAAACAAATAAAGACTTACATGGCTCAAAATTGTGTATCATACTTTGAAGCCTCAAAATCATATCCACCAGTAACTAAATCTTATGCAGATGTACTCAAACAACAGTCTACACTAATTAATTCACCGACACCTGCAAAGGTTTCTTCTTCAGCCTCTAATAATTCTTACAAAAGAACAGTTTTCTTAAAGCCCCGTTCTCCTCCAAGACAATCTGGTGGTTATGACCAATTTGCTCATGCACAGTATGCTAATGAATATAATATGAACATGGTTTCTTCTCTTTCTAATGGTTCTGCATATAAAACATCTGATAACGATAATGACCAATCTAAATCTGAATTGTCAATTATTGAAATTAT